GTGACGCAACAAGCTCTTACCACCAAGGCTCCCAAGAGCGAGTGGCAACGTAAGCATCTCTTGGCACGAGGACTCTGAACAGAGAGCTGTGGCGCAACAAGCTTTTCCCAGCAAGTCAATGACGCAACACGCGCTTACCAGCAAGGCTCCCAAGAACGAGCTGTGACGCAACAAGCTCTTACCACCAAGGCTCCCAAGAGCGAAGGGTGCCATCTGCCATCTCGGGCAGGTTTCTGAAGCTCTCTTTCCGTTTTCGTGCCAGCCCAGGGCTAATGGCTTTCTGCCTATCCTGCCACCGTGCTTGCGTTGCAGTTGGAGTTCCTGGATCAGGCGCGAGTCCCTCTGATTGGCTGTGCGCAGGTCTGTCGGCTGGACTCGTCGCCTTTCCTCTTGCATGCCCTCCTCCTCTGGGGCTGTTTGGTAGCCTCTTGGGGTTTCTGTTTGGATTTTTGGAGGCGTCCTCTTACCTCTCGTGGGCCTATTCGGAGCCTGCTGGCGGAACCTGGGTTTCTCCTGGGGCGGGAGATTCTAAGTCTCGACCCGTGTCGCCTCCCTTGAGGCCCTCTCTCTCTCTCTCTCTCGAGGTCCTCTTGGGCACGTCGTGGGTCGTCTGGAGGCTGTCTTGTGCCGTCGTCAGATTCTTCCAGGGGTCTCTTGGGCCAATCTTTGGGGCTCCATGGGCCGTCTGGGACGCTGTGGCGGCCCAGAAGGGGAGTGTTGTACAACTGTTGTTTTTCTTTGGAGGTTTGGGAGATTGGTGTTTCCCGGAGCTCTCGTGGAGGTGCTCTTGGGGTCTTTTTGTGGGCCTTGGTTCGTGCTGACCCACTGAGTCTCCCCTGGGGGCGTTCCAGGGGCTCTCTTGGGCCGTCTTGGAGGCCTCTTCGGCCATATTGTGAGCCTCTCGGGCAGTCTCGGCACCCTCTTGTGGGCCTTTTGGGCCCTTTTGGAAGGATCTTGGGGGCCTCTTGGGCTGCTTGCGAGCGTCGGGAACCCGAAAAGGCGGAAGCGCCAAAATTTCTTGAATACCGAATGATCATCACTGCATTTTGCCTCTCGGGATCCTTGAGGAAGTGCTCTTGGAGGCCTCTTGGGGCGTCTTGGGGGCCTCTTGGGCCGTCTCGAGGCCATCTTGGCCGTCTTGGAGCTGTCTTCTGACGAATCGAAGCCCTCCTGCACATGTGAGAGCTCGGGAGTTCGTTTTGGGCGGGCACAGCGCTCAGAGGACCGGCAGGAAACGCCCAAGAACTCAAGGGAAACGCCCCGACACGCTCCGGAAAAGGCTTAGGAAAAACGGAGGCCTGGGCTTCCAGCAACTTACAAGCCTGGCTGCAGCAGCAGCGCAGCTGTGAGCCTTGGGGCACTGCACGTCGTGCCAGAGGCACGATGGCGGATGCCGTACCCGTCTTTTCTCGACTTGGATCCTAAAGCCTTCTGGAGGCCCCCTGATGCCCCAAATGAGCCAGACAACATCCCAAACCTACATCATCGATCCTCGAACGACGACGACGACGGCGGCCCGGACTCCCGACGTCGTGGTTTTATCACATCGCGGGCCCCTGGAGGTCTCGACCCCTGCCTGTCGGTCGGCTCTTCATCCCGAGCCGTCGTTTTATGGCCCCGCGGGCCCAGCAAGGATCCCCCGAGGTAGAACATTACAGAACCGTCGTCTGTGTTTGTTTCTTCCTCTTCCTCATCCTTCATCTTTGTTCCTTGTGAGTATTTTTTCACTGTCGCACCCCGAGGCCAGTTGCTAGGGCGGGCCGGGCGCATCGCATGAGACATCCTCACCACTCATGACCCTGAAGCTTCAAAAATGACAACAGTTTTAATGATGGAGGGCGGGTGGTGTTCAAAATGTCGCTCTCGCCTTACGCCGCGCACATTATTTCTGACCATTTGCAAGAGCTTCACGGATGCAGTCGGCCCGGATTAGTAGGTCCACCCTGCCAGCTCAAGGGAACCCTTGTGTCCTGTGCCTCGCGGCACGTGCCTTCTTACACTCCTATGGCGATGTGGCCCTCGGAAGGGTCTTGTGTCCTCTCGCGTGCGTCGTCCAATCAAGGCCCACTGTAGAAGGCGGGTGGTTTTGAAAATGTGGTTCTCGCTCTAGCGCCGCGCATTCGTTTTCAGAAATTGCAAGATCTTCACGGATGGAGGGCGGGTCGTTTTCTAAATATGGCTCTCGCTCTAGCGCCGCGCACTTTCTTCTAAATAATTTGCATGAGTTTCACGGATGGAAGGCGGATCGGTTTCAAAATGCGGTTCTTGCCGTAGCGCCGCGCACGTTCGCTTTAAACATATGCAAGAGCTTCACGGATGGAGGGCGGCCTTTGGTTTTCAAAGTGTGGTTCTCGCTCTAGCGCCGCGCACATTTTTTTTCAGAAATTGCAAGAGCTTCACGGGTGGAGGGCGGGCCGTTTTCAAAATGTGGTTCTCGCCTTAGCGCCACGCACGTTTCCTTTCAACAGTGCAAGAGATTCACTGATTGAGGGGGGTTCCTTTTCAAAATTCGGTTCTCGCTTCAGCGCCGCGCACATCCGTTTTTAAAAGACTGCAGGAGCTTCACGGATCCCAATGGACAGCGTACCAGAAATAATATTTTGGAAGGATCAGGATTATGAGGGCGCAGCAGTTAAGTTGATTCACGGTGTTGAAGCCCCAAAAATCGCGTTCTGGCACGGTTCAGGATCGTCAGCACGCAACAGTCAGGTTGACCCGTGGCGTTGGGATCCCGAGAACAATGTTTTGGCGTGTTTCAGGGTTTTCAAACGGTTGTCTTCCAACGAGGCAGTTCCCTCCGTGGAAATAAACCGTTGTACGGGCTTACGGAGAGGGAGCTTGGAGGGAGGGTTTATTACAACATCGTTGACGACTCTTCGGTTTACACTCCTCCTTCTCCTCCTCCTCCTCCTCCTCCTCGTCCTCGTCCTCATCGTCCTACTGTTCCTGCGCGAGGGGGTCTCGGCCCGGGCGTCAAGACTCACACCCCCTACCTGTTTTGGGGTGTGTCTCGGCCAGGGCTTCTGAGCGGATGCAGCTGCGGCGACGAGATGCCGCCCAGGGCCCAACCACATTTTGGAAAGTTGTTGATCCTCGGGGACTCGATCCTCGGCCCCCAGGCCCCCGACGTGGGCCGAGCTCCGCGACCGCGACCACGACAACCACGACGACCTCGACGACCGTCGTCCCTGCCGTCGTTGTCGACGGCCTCCTCGTCCTCGTCGGTCGTCGTCGTCGTCGTCGTCCTGCTTGTCGGTCGTCGTCCTCTTCGTCGGTCGTCGTGGGTCGTCGGTCCTCGCCGGGCGCAGGTGCGGGCCGAGCTCCAGGCCCAGGAGCGCGCGGCCGCAGAAGCCCAGGGGCGGCAGGCAGGGGAGCTGCGGGCGCTGCGCGGCGAGGCGCAGGAGGCTTTGGGGGGCGGCCGCAGGGTCGCCCAGGGGTGTCTCTTGCAGGCCGACGACGAGGACGAGGACAACGACGACGACGACGAGGACGAGGACGAGGACGAGGACGAGGACGGAGCCAACGACGAGGACAAGTACGAGGACGAGGACGAGGACGACGACAACAAGGAAGGCGACGACGACGAGGACGACGACGACGACGACGACGACGACGAGGACGAGGACGCGGTCGAGGACGAGGACGACGATGACGAGGAAGACGACGACGACAACGACAAGGACGACGGCGACCACGACAAGGTCGACGGCGACCACGACGACGACAAGGAGGACGACGACGAGGACGACGACGACGAGGGCTCCCTTGCAAGGCGACGACGACGAGGACGACGACAACGACACCACCGACGACGACGACGACGACAAAGACGACGACGACAACGACGACCACGAAGAGGACGAGGACGACGACGAGGACCATGACGACGACAACGCTGACGACGACAACAAGGACGACGACGACGACGAGGACGAGGACGACGACGACGACGACAACCAGGACGACGACGACGACAACGCTTGCGGGAGGATGGCGGGGAAGATCAAGAAGAGGACGAGGAGCTGGAGGAGGAAGAGGTGGAGGAGGAGGAGGAGGAGGAGGAGGAGGAGGAGGAGGCATATTGGGAGCCTCTGAGGGCACTCTTGGGGCCTCCTGGGAGCTTTCTGGGAGCCTCTTCTTGGAGGCATCGTGGGGGCCTCCTTGGGCCATTGGGAGCCTTTTGTTGGCTTCTCGGGGGCCTATTTGGTAGTCTTACCGCATTCCTGGCCCGTCTGATGCCGTCGGAAACCGTCTTTGGGGCCTCTCTGGGCCGGCTTGGGGCCCTCTTGGGGTGCTCCAGGGCCGTCTTGGAAGCCATTTTGGGCGTTGGGGCCTTCTTGGGGCCGTCTTGGGGGACTCTTGGGCCTTTCTGGGGCCATCTAGGAGGTCTCTTGGGCGATCTTTGGGCGATATTTGGGGGCTCTTGGGCCGTCTCGGGCCGTCGGAAGGCCGAACAGAAGCCAATGCCAAAATCTTTCAAACACCGAAGGACAATTAATGATTTTGATCTCTTCGGGCCTTCCTGGAGGCTCTCCGGGAGGCCTCTTGGGCCGTCTTGGAGACCTCTTGGGGGCCTCTTGGGCCGTCTTGGGCCATCTGAGAGCCATCTTGGGCCGTCTTGGTGGGCTCCTGGCCCGTCTGACGCCGTCGGAAGCCACCTTGGGGGTCTCTCTGGGCCGACTTGGGGCCCTCTTGAGGTCTTGGAGCCCATCTTGGGCGTCTTGGAGGCCTCTTCGGCAGTCTTGGGACCCTCTTGGGGCAGTCTTGGCTGCCTCTTGGGCAGGTTTGGGGCATCTTGGAGGCCTCTTGGGCGATGTTTGGGCGATCTTTGGGGGCTCTTGGGCCGTCTCGGGCCGTCGGAAGGCCGAACAGAAGTAAATCCCCAAATCCTTGAATAACTTCTGGAATAATCAATGATGTTGGCCTTTTCTGGCCTTCCTGGAGGACCTCTTGGAGTCCTCTTGGGCCGTCTTTGAGGCCTCTTGGGGGTCTCTTGGGCCGTCTGCCGTCATCTTGAGGCCGTCTTGGGCGAAACGCTCATTCTTATCATGAGGCGTCTCGTGCTGGAATCCCCGAGATCGCGATTTGTTGAGCATGTCTAGGGCGAAACGTCCGTTTTTGGAGACGTGGGTTGCGCAGCGGCGCGGTCCTCCGAGTGGCCAGTGGGACGCGCCGAAGCCCCAGGGGAGAGTTCTTTTCGGGAAAATAGCAAGCAGGGGCGGCCTGGCAGTGGCGGCAGGGGAAGGCGAGGAAGAGGAGCAGGGGGAGGCGGGCGGGTGGCGGTCGTGGATGTCGCCCTGGTGGCCGTGGAAGGCGGCGTGGTGGTGGTAGTCGTAAGAGCCGGAGTGGTGGTGGTGGCCGCCAGCGCTGTGGCAGTCGCGGTCGTTGTCGCAGTGCTGTCCTCGTCGAATTGCTGGGCGCCAGACGTCACTAGTGGCGGTAATGTTCCTCTCTCCCTCCCTCTCGTCGTCCTCCTCCTCCTCCTCGTCCTCCTTCTCCTCCTCCTCCTCCTCCTCCTCCTCCTCCCTGTCCTCCTCCTCCTCCCCCTCCCTGTGCTTCTCCTCCACCGGCCTCCCTCCCTCCTTCCTGCTGCTACGCCACGTTTCCTCCATACACTCTCCGTGCCGCAGGGCTGCCTTCGCGCTACCCCCACTCCGCCTCCTACTCCTCCTGCTCCTGATCCTCCTCCCACTCCTCCTCTTCCCTCTTCTCCTTGTTTCCCTCCTTCCGTCTTTCGTTCCTCCTCCTCCTCCTCCTCCTCCTCCTCCTCCACTGCTGTCTGTAGCCGGTGTGGCTCAAGTTGGGAACCGTCCTTCCAGCTTGAAGAGAGCCGAGGGGAAGACCCGAGCAATTTAGTCCAACGACCTTGACAGCTCTCGAAGGCCCGCTCTGGCCCACCTGCTGTCAGTTCTTTCTGGCGGTCATCATGTTGTTGCACCATCCCGCGCATCACTCACGTGCCCCCAGTCATGGCGCCAGCTGCTGGGGTATACGAGATGACATCGCAGGAGGATGTCATGACAGAAGGTTCCAAAGGATGCAAGAGGAAAGCTGGCGAAGATGAATACGAGGACCTCTCAGGTTTTTCAGGTGTTCCAGCCACGCAAACAGCGTGGCTGCAGGCGCTCAGCAAGCCACTGAACAAGGTCTCGGCCAACTTCGACACCATGACGAAACATCTCGAGGACCAGAGATTGAAGTTAGAGTTCATGCAGAGGCAGTACGACACCGTCTTGACCAGCATCCAGTCGGCAGTCGACACGGACACGGCCCTCGACACAGTCTTCCACGAGAAGGTCCAGATCAAGGTCGGCGGGCTCGAGAGGAAGTATCGCGACCTCTCTGATGCTGGCGGCGCCGCGGCCAGCACCGCTCCGAGCTTAGCCATCACTCATGTTCCTGACCGTCTGCCGCAGGGCAGGCGCAGCCCGCAGAAGGACATCAAAGGCGACAAGAGTAAGGTGTGGATCTGCGGCTTCAAGAGGCCTATGCTACAGCGAGTTCTCATCAGACACGGCGAATGGGTCAATACCCAGTTCCCAGCCGCCCTCACCGAGAATGCAGATATCATCTCGTCTAACTTCGTGCAGTCATATCATCACTTGTTCGCTGACGAGATCGAGTTTAAGGCGTTCTTGGACGCCGCTCGTGACCGCGGGGTCTAGACCAGGACACCAAGGCAGGCCAGGTCGAGCTCAGGGTCAGGCTCGACGTTCCTCCTTTCATTCGCGCCAGGCGTAAGGTGCTTGGTCAGATGTGGCAGAAGATCTCAGAGTTCTGGAAGTCGCAGAACATCCCATACAAAGAGCAGCAGTGAACGCTCGGATGCAACGGCTTCCGAGTATTCCTATTTGTAACAGTGCAGGATGGCGCGCAAGGTCTCGCTGGGACCGGCGAGCTTGACCACGAGCAGTGGCACATCGAGACCGTGTCCGATTTCGTCGCCCAGTTCGAGTTTCTTGCTGAGGCCATGTCTGAATGGTCCAAGGTCGCTGGCACTCGTGGGTCTGTACGAAGTTTAACCGCAGGAAGAACGTTCCGATCGAGGTGGTCTTCATCTGCGGGCGCAAGCGTCCTGCTTGCGATTTGATGGCCACATTGGCAGGAAGTGTTCTCGCCGTGAGAGCTCGGCTTGCGGCGCAGGCCGACGGAGCAAACGTGCTCGCGCACGCAGTTCAATTCGTTCGTGCAGCAGCAGTCTGAGCATAACCTCGTCTACCTCGGCTACTTCGTCTTCCTCTGCGGCCTCCTCGTCTTCCTCGTCCTCGCTTGGGGCTGGTGCCGGCAGCCTGCCCGATAGCCCTTGCCGCTTCTCCGACAATTTCTCTAGTGTATCTTGGAACGCACAGAGCTTGTGCGGCTCACTCTGGTCGCCCCCTTCAACTGCTGAGAAACATCGCGCTTCGTCTAGTCCATCTAACGGCTCATCACTCTGTCGCGCGCGTTCAAGGGGTTAGAGGATCAGCTCAAGATCTCCAGCAGATTCTAAACGAGACGGCCGACGGTCTTGGCCTTGGGACATTCTGCGTTCCATCCGATACCGAAACTGAAGCTACCCCTGCCCGTGGCTGCATCATCCTCATTTGTCCTAGTCTTCGTGCTCGATTCACCCACGTCTCTCATCATGCACTTGTCCCTGGCAGGGCCCGTCAGATCAACTGTGCAGGTCCCAGTGGCAAGCTCAACATCTCCAGCATTCATGACATCCCTGGCATGTCTCGTTTACAGCAAAAATGATCTTGTGTTACCGAAGCAAAGTTGGAGCCTCAGGATAAGGTTCTCAGCTTCGTGGCGGGGGGCTTGAACGTCGTGCCGATGTGGAGGGGGGCGCCCAGTTGTCTGGTCGCGCTTAGTACCCGCAGCAGTCCAGGGAGCAGCATCACGCGGCATTGCTCCCCAGTGTGCGTGAAGTTAAGCAGCCCCTTCCCACCCATCAATTCCTCTCCCATGCCCCTGTACTAAATCCGGACTCGATGGGAATGGTGACGTTTATGATCGTGCCCATGTTACCTCGGTCACCCGCGCCGATGGCGCGCGCGCTGGCATGCGAGCAGCCGAAATATCGGATTATGGCATGCATTTTTCGTCATTGGCAAAGCAGGGCAAAAACAAACTTGCCGACCACTTCCCCGCTGCCCTCTCGATCTCGCACAAAAGCCACAGCGATGTGCAAGGCCTTTCCAGGTGGGTCTCAAAACCTCCTCTGCACCCTGTTATGTGCCAGGAGGTTTTCGGCGATTTAGGCATCCAGCCCAGCAAACCACATGGGGCGTTAGAAGAATGCAAGGACCTGCCCCGCGCTGCTGCCCGCATAGTTAAGCGCGAGCTTGAGCGAGCGGGAACTGCCAGTGCCCCTGAGCATGCGTCGTGGCCGCTTTCTGCCATGAGGGCCCTGGCTGCAGGT